AATAATAATAATAATAATAATAATAATAATAATAATAATAATAATAAATAATTAATAATAATTAATAATAATAATAATAATGTCCTTACCGGCTCAATGATGGCTGGTTCTCCCTTTTGCCCTTTCTCACCTCGAGGTCCTCCAATCTGGGGGTGGTGGGGAGATTCCGGAGGAAGAATGGGAGAAAGAATAGGAACAGAAAGTCCAAATGAAACTTCTGCAAAGCCAGGGTGCTCCCTGCTTCCGGGCACCCCATTCCCAGGAGGAGGACAGCAAGCGCACTGAACCTCCCATCCCCACCCCTAACTACGCACAGTCAGGCGATGAGGCACAAATGACAACATGGAAGTCAGAGAGGCTACTCCAAAGAAGGAAAGTCAGCCAGGCATAGTGCACACCTTTAGTCCCAGAACTTGAGAGGCAGGTGGATCTCTGTGAGTTCGAGGCCAGCCTGGTCTACACAGAGTTTCAGGCCAGACAGGGCTACACAGTGAGCCCCTTTCTCTAATTAATTAACTGAAATAAGAAAGAAGCCTGCATAGCAGTGTAGGTCACTCTTGCCACCCTCAGACATTTGGAGGTGCTTCCCCTTTCCGACCACCCTGATGCCCTTGAGCAGAGAGAAGCCTCGATCTCTTACCCCCTCATAGATGGTGTCCTGGTTAGCTGGCATGCCTGGCCCTATCTCTGATGGGGAGACATTGGAGTCGGAGTCAGGGTCAAAGTACGGGTCGTAGTAGTTGTCCTCCAGATTCTTGATGGTTTCCTCAGTGAACTCACCACCCAAGTCATCTTCCCCTTCCCCAGGAGATGGAGCTGGCTACAGATTAGGGGGCAGAAGTGGCAGGGTCACTTAGTCACTTAGTCACTTAATGTGGCTGACCACATCCACATTAAGGCTCTACCCAGCACCCCCTGCCCATAGCAGTCAGTGGCCCTGCTACAGAGCATCCAGAGCTAAAGCCCACAGGAGAAGTCCATGAGGGAAGACCTGTGGCACCCACAGCCCCTCTGCACACCTCCCACCCACCATGGGGGAGGTTCCCCAAACTGCCCAAGACACCATAACAGGGTAGGGCAAGGAGGAGCAGCAGTGCCCTTAGAGTTGTGCTCCATCCCTGGGGAGGTCTGCGGAACCCGAGGTTTTCTCTAACAGTGCAGATGGCAGCACCCCTGAGAGTTATTCTCATAACAAGGGTAACCACTTATGACGTCCACGGGTGGAGTTCTTGCAGCCAGAAACTACTGTGTTGTCTGGGCTGCCCTGAGAATGAGAAAGCAGAGCTCAACAGAGCTCTGCCCGTTCTGCAGGGGGAACTGAAATAAACTCAGAAAAGCCAATGGCTTCCAAACCACACTCACCCCTGCTACAGAGGACTCAGGAGTGTGTGTGTGTGTGTGTGTGTGTGTGTGTGTGTGTGTGTGTGTGTGTGT